TCGATATCATCCCCAAGTCCTCAAAATATCTGGTTATCTGAAAGGAATTGTAAGTCTTGAGTGAAAAGTTGGAAATAGGATATAGAGAAGATTAGCCAGTGTATTGAAGATTTTTTGCAGAATTGGCAGGCTACATAGAACTGTGCTGCTGTTTGCATGAAAAGCATGTGCTCTGGTACAAATCCAACATTACAAAACGATAAAAGACCATTTTGATAATTTACTACAAGTCCAGAGAAGGGCCACCAGGATGATCCGAGGGCTGGAGCACCTCTCCTGTGAAGACAGGCTGAAAGAGTTGGGGCTGTTCAGCCTGAAAAAGAGAAGGCTCCGGGGAGATTTTATAGCAGCCTTCCAATACCTGAAGGGGGCCTACAAGAAAGCTGGGGAGGGACTTTTCATAAGGGCAGTTAATGACAAAACAAGGGGAAATGGGTTTAAACTGAAAGAGGGGAGGTTTAGATTAGATATTAGGAAGAAGTTTTTCACTGTGAGGGTGGCCAGACGCTGGAACAGGTTGCCCAAGGAAGTTGTGGATGCCCCCTCCCTGGAAATGTTCAAGGCCAGGCTGGATGAGGCTTTGAGCAACCTGGTCTAGTGGAAGGTGTCCCTGCTGGGGGCAGGGGGATTGGAACTAGGGGATCTTTAAGGTCCCTTCCAATCCTAACCATTCTATGATTCTATATGATATTGACCATCAGCATTCCTTCTTTTCACTTGTATGAACTAGAATTTTTTTTTGAAGGAAAAATAACTAATTCTAGTTTTAAAATTATTGTAGTGGGAAACTCCTTAAACCCATGGTAGCAAATTGTTAACTGGTTTAGACAGTTTTTATCCCATTTAATATCCACCTTGTTGATTTTTTTATTGTTCTGGTTTCTCAGTCAGAAATGCCATATAACATTAGATAAATGCCTATCACACATGCCATACACTAAATATTATGGGGTACAAACCACAAGCTGGTGATCTGGGAATTAATAACGTGTTATGGACTCAGCTGTGGTCAGGAGTGTAGCAAAGAGAGAATGTCCATTTCGTGTCCAATGAGGCAGAGCAGTGGGTGTGAAGTCTCTGATTCCCCTTGAAAAGTGACTGAAGTAAAAAATTTCTGGTGTGACCGCTGCTGTCAGCCCTCATAGGAGAGCAGGGGCAAACAATGAAACGTCCTTTTGAACTATCAACAGAGGCTTTCCTAGGAGCCCAAGTGAGGCCCTTTGAAGAAAGATACTCTACCACTGTCACCTCCTGATTATTATTATTTTTTTAAAATTTAGCTTCCTGTGTATCACTGATAATTCTGGAATGGCTTGAATGGAGAATATGGAACTAGAGTTCAGCTGAAGGCCAGGCCCTGCCTTGCTATCACAGGGTTTTGGTAAGATGAGGTAACAGGAAAGAGCTCAAGAAATTGTCTTTGGTAGTCTTTGCTGACAGATTTTTGGATACAGAGGTACCACAAGAGGGGGAAAAATAAACATTAAGGTAGATCTGGAAATAGATCACACAATATAATCATATTTTCTCATAGTTACTCTTCTGATAGTCCTTTCGTATGGTACTGAAAAGAACTTACTTTGTTGGTAGCAGACAAAATGTGGATGTTGAGATCTCACTATGGCAGACTATGTCATAGCATAATTATTTCTTTTTTTTCTCTGTCATTTCTTTGTATAGGTGGAAAATGTTCGGTTACTTGATCGTTTATCTTCAAGAAAAGCTGCACTGGGAACCTTGTATTTAACAGCTACCCATGTCATATTTGTGGAGAATGGCTCTGAAACTCGTAAAGAAACCTGGGTATTAATTTTTGTTTTTTCAGTCAGCTGTAAGTGTGTGGCACTTTATTGATGGTAATTTGAAAATAACTTTCAAAACAGTTGAAACATAGTAAATTAATTCATATGGATGCTTTTATAACTTCAGAGTGCGTGAAATTCCAGCCTGGTAGTTTTTGAAAATTTTCAGTGGGTCCTGGATATTACAACACAGTAAGGGGAGTAGAGAGACCTTCACTGTACGAATACCAGATGTGGCTGACTGAGGAACGGCTGTTGCAAACTACAACACTGCTCCTATCGTCCAGGAAGAACTGAGGAGAAATGCTTTGAATGTGAATTACTACCTTGGCTCAGTCAGCTCTTACCTCTCTCCCTGACTGCTTGTGCTGGATCAGTGATTTTGTTGTTTTAATTTTTTTTTTTTTTTACATAATGTAGTATTTTGAGTTATCTGTTTTGATGGATTTACAACATATCATCTTGTGTGTATATTTATAAGTACAGATGTAGTGCTAGTGTCATACCATTTGAGAGTCTTTTATGTAGCTTAATTATGAATCCTTTGTCCATTTTTGTACTAATTATTAACTCCATTCTCTTTTGGTCCCATGATTCCCCTCCTGATTTTTATTGTAATTTTTCATCTCATCTGATGCAGTATTTAAAATTCTATCAGTACTACCATTCTGCCAATGAGGAAGTCCAAGATTTTAGCCTTATCTAACTGATGCTGGTTCATCTTTTCACTGTGCAGATAGATGAAAAAGACCTCTTTTTCTAACAACTGCTAGCTTACACTAAAGCAAGCAAACAAAAAGCTTTGGATAGCATGACCAGACTAATGTCTGAGCAGCTGAAACACTTCAGAAGCAGTTCTTTGTCTGTAGGTGATGTATCAGGCACTGCTTGAGCCTGAAGCTGGAGACAAGGACAAAACTACAAGAGGAGGAGTGTGAGGATTTTCTGAAACAGTAGTGGAAACTACTGTGCCTGCTCAGGCACATCATTATAAGTAATTATTTTTCTTCCTAAAGATTTTAATCACTTGGCATAACCGCTTTCAATTCCCACACAGGTTCTTCACAGCCAAATTTCCTCTATTGAGAAACAGGCCACCACGGCCAGTGGTTGCCCGTTGCTGATTCGCTGCAAGAACTTCCAGGTCATCCAGCTGGTCATCCCTCAGGAACGAGACTGCCATGACATTTACATATCTCTGATACGTCTGGCACGACCAGGTATGGGAAGGAAACGCAGCACAGAAGTCAACCCTCACCCTGAAGAGGGAGAATATAAGGGAAGAAATGTAGCTCTGCATCTTTGTCCGTTGCAGTTTAAGAAAAAAGACTTCATTAGAGATGTGTTATGAGAGAAAAGGTCTCTGAGGAGACGAGCATATTAAAATAATCACTGATGGAGCAATGAAGAAAGCACATTATAACAAGTAGTTCATTCCATAAAGTATGTTATCAACTTTTGTTGAAAATTATACTCTAGAGGATCACTGGCCATAAAATATATTATAATGCTATTTTATGTGTAACTTTTGCTTACTGGATGCCTTATATAAGTGTGAATTTAGGAAAATACTGACAAGTCTCTGAATTCAAGGAACTTTCATGTTCCTGCTGTGACAATAAACTTGTATTTTAGTGGTCATGTCAAGGTCTGAATTTTCCCTTTCTGTGCTGTGCATAAATTTCTTAAAATTAGTGAAAGGTTTTGCAGCAAGTGGTTGATTTGTTCCACTGGTCTGACTATGTTTTGGCCTATTATTATTTAGGTTTTGAATGTGCCCTTCTGAATTTCTGAATTCAGAACAAGATCCTTTTGAAGCCTTTCCTCTTTTCAATGAAAATCCAAATGTTGCAGTAAAGTCCAACATCTGATCCTCTGCATTATATCTGCTCTCCTAAAAACCAGCTGACAAAGCTTCTGGATTGTTTATTTTAAATTATAACTGTAGAAATACAGCACCAACCTCTGTCCTTTACTATTATTTTAACTACACAAAGAAGATGTTCACCACAGTCTGTACAAAACTGACAGAATTGGCTTAAATTTGTATCTTGCTAGAAGAATACCAATTTGATCTACTGTGTAGAGGGGGAAAAAATTGCACAGTCAGCCAGCACAGCTACTGAACTTCATAAACTTTTTTGCTGAATCTTCTATAGTTAGCATAGTAGTAGTAATAATACACAACTGCAGCAGATGTAACTTGATATGCTAGGTGATGCCAGATGAAACTAATCAGAGAAATTAAAAACCAATGAGACAAATTCAGTCATTGGTTCTGCTGATGTAAATCTGGATTCATCCCACAGACCTCAGCTGCAAGTATGTGTTCGTGCATGCTGGAAGGAATGCAATTCTGTAATGCTCTTTCTCTGGAGGCAGGAGGAGGTGTGTGTACTGCTGTGATAGTTCAACTTAGCTGGCAGCCAAACAAGACACAGCCACTCACAGCCTCCCCCCACCTCCTCCCCACCCCCTTCACCCCCACGCAGGGAATCGAGGAGAGAATTGGAGGGGTAAAGGTGAGGAGACTTGTGCACCAGAAAAGGGCACTTGGATACAGGCATACAGAATGATGAAGGGACGAATAGCTGCGGACCCTGAATACAAGTTCAGTGTCAGACTGCAATGGTTAAGAAAGTTCGAATGAAGAAGATGCAAAAAGAGGACCATAGAATTATCTCTCTTCATAGTTCAGCTATACAGTCGTTTTCCTTCTCCAGCAAAATATCCAGTCTTCATGTGAGGCAGGATAAAATCTTGCTTACTTAAAATCAGAAGGCTCCAGTTGCAAATTGAGCCAGATGTACCCTGTCAATGTTCTGCTGTGTCTTTTTTTCTGGGCACAAAGCTGTACTTTCTTTATAAGGTACACTTTACTCCATGAGGAGAAAATTTGACTCGTTGAGGCTCTATTTTCCATTCTCTGCCTGTACTTTTCATTCATTCTGTCACAGCTGAAGCTGAGTGAAGCTCATCTTGTGTACTGGCTTAATATATCCTGTGCTATCTGATGTCCTAGTTATACTAAAAGAGCAAATTTGTGTTTTATTTTATTCTTGACAACTGTTAATAGCATTTTAATAAGGTCAAGCTGACAGCTGAATTTGGCCTTTTTGCTTAGTTAAGTCGTTTTAGCAAACAAACTGACCATAACAGCTATTACAGGTGTATTAGCAGAATTTGCAGATGCTTATGGCAAAATAACTGTGAAAGATTAAGGAAAGTCCTCAAAGTGCTGCTAAAGAGCTGATAACTGAGCTTTAAGGCAGTGACTATTAATACTTGAACATTTTTGTTACCACCTATAAATACCATCATGTAGTAATATTTGTAATATCGAGTCAGACTTCAGTCATAAACAACCTGGATATATTTTAATAGGTGGATTTTTAAGGGCTTTCCATGTGCCTGTGAACAGCAGGTCCATTTGGAAAGAAAATCCAGATGCTTCTGACAACCAGGCAGTAAAAACAGGAGCTCAAATTGCTACCTAAAGCACTCTGTTAAAAATAGCTCAGATTGGATTTATGGATTGTGCTAAAACTTTATGTTAGCAGATGAGAAATAAACCAAACTGTCTTCCTAATCTGTGTCATGACAGAAGTTTGAAATCAGAGAATGCAGGAAGAGTTTAAACTGCCAGAAAATGTGCAGATCATTCTTTTCTTTCTCCTTACTCACAACTTTGTTGACTTTCAGTACTTTCCTGACAGTTAACATGAAGTTTTCTTTCTTCACATTCATACTTTTTTCTCTGTGTGTATACAAACAATTTAACGATATTTTAAAAAGCAAAATATAACTTAAATTAAAACTTTAGAAGACATCATCAGAATAGAAGTAAAGACTTCCTATAGAAAAAGTTGGGAGCCTTATTATTATTTATACTGTGGTTGTTTTTGTTGTTATTATTTTTATAAGTTCCTTACTGTAGTATTCTAAGACTCTGCTTATGAGGTATATATTATTTGAAAAGGAAGTGTAGTATTTAAGTTCATTGATCTTGTTAAAGTTAAATTGTGCAGCAAGTGTATCAGTGGAGGACTATGAAATCAGAGAGGACTCAACTTTGTAATTTGCTCTGCTTCAGTTCTAAAGTTAAAAACCTGTTGGTCAGAAAGTTTTAAGGAACTTAGAGCAACAGAATGAAATATACCCTCATGACATGACAATATCTTAAATATCAATGAGAACTTTATTTCCAAGCTATAAGCTGAATATCAATGACAGCTGGCATTTAATGTCAGTGGTGTCTGGCTTCCATTGGTCACCAGGATTAGGGCACTCATTAGCATAAATAAAGATATACTCGTAAAAATGTTATAAACTCCAGCACCAGCGAAGTTTATTATATGGTCCTTGACTGAGGGTGACAGGTGGCATAACTACTTAAACCAGTTCATGGTCATGATGAAATGATTGATGTAACATAAGCTATTTTTATGCTATTACAACATCTGTATCATGAACGCCTTTGCTAGTAATTCAAGGACAGAATTTTTGCAGTCCACAAAACTAAAATTTCATTGAATCTATTAGAAACTTCCCTGTTTAGGGACAAAGATTTGAGTTCATTTTTGGAAGATTGTGCTGCATAGTCCATTACTGAGAGCTTTTGCCATTGCCACAGGACAGATGATATGCTAACAAAGGGACTTCTAAGCTACCTCTGGCCAGCAAATTCTTCTGCAGAACAAGTGCTTATTCTAGCACTGACTTTAGTTTTCTTTGGATGGAAGCCTATTATCACTGACATTTTGTCCTTGTGCTAAGGGAGGCTTTTACAATTCAGTAGAGAAGAGATCTAGCAGAACAGCATATTTTACGTAGTGTTACTAATAAGCCACATATATTGCAACATATACAAGTAACAAAACAGCATAGTACTTTCAAAGTTTAAAGTACTTTCAAACTTGAAAACAGTTATAAGCCAGGATATGTGCTTCTGTATAGCAAAGCAAACTATTTTAAAAGAGAAACGTCATAAAGGACAATACCAAATTTTGGTTTTGAAGTGTGATTTCAGGATGAGAAATCTGAAGTGTTTTGCTGGTTTTGTTTGTTTGGTGTTTTTCAGTGAAATACGAAGAGTTGTATTGTTTCTCCTTCAATCCAAAATTAGATAAAGAAGAAAGAGAACAAGGCTGGAAGCTTGTGGACCTCAATGAAGAATATAATCGGATGGGTATTCCAAACAACTATTGGCAGATTAGTGATGTAAACAGAGACTATGGAGTGAGTTGTGATTTTTCTGTTACAGAGGATGTAGAGTAAATCAGCAGTCTGGCTGTGGACTACTGAAGTGCTCTCACATGCAGGATCCCTTTGTGCTCAGTGCTGTACACACGTGTAGCAAGGTGCAGTTCTTCCACTCTTTCACATAAAAAGGCACATAGAAAGGATGTGCCAGAAAACTTGTACATAATAAGTTTTAAACATTAGTGCTTGGCTGCTTGGGGAGAAGTATAAATTATACCTAATTTTATGTGTCTGAATGAGTGTTTTGCTGACAATGCAGGGTTATATAAAATTACTACACAGTCATCTTAAGAAAAACATTACTTGAAATATTGAATTTGGCAATATTTTTTCCTCACTGGCTATCTTCACAATCCTTTTGAAGCCTCTGTGATTGACTGTTAGTGTTTTTCACAGTCATCTGACAGGTCATATATCTTCCTAGCTACCTGCTGTCCTGCTTACTTCAGTCTTGTATGATTGAAGTACCTAGAGTGTTAATTAATTGTGAGAATATCAGCCAAAGTATTTTTGAAGGAAGTTTGTCCATTGGCTCTGTTGCTGGAGCATATCCATGTTAAGAAAAGTCTGTGAAGTTCTCGGAGAAGACTGAATGTGCTGTCGGAGTTTGTTTTCCTTTTGTTAAAACAAGTGGAAAAAACATTTGACCTCTTTTAAGATAAAGTGTAGGAAAAATGGCATAGTGAATAAAACCCAGTTCTCCACAGCAGCATCTGTAACCACAGGTCTTTCCTTTTCTTTCTTCTTCATTACATATCACTGGCTCTCTCAGGACCTAATTTCTTCTTGGGCATCCTATTTCATTTAGTCATCTGAGAAAGTCTCAGGGAGTTACTGGATATCCTTTTGACCCCAGCCAGAATGCCACAGGCAGTATCAGGAAAATGAAGTTAGATGGAGACCTCATCTGTGGTTCCGCTTGTCTCCAGAGAAACTTCTGGGCTTTTTTGCGGGCCCATTGGGTCCCTTTCAGGAGTGGTAGGCATCACCAGAGCTGCTTGCCTTTTGGTATCTTCATTTCATATGGACTAATTTCTTTTATCCAAGTCCCTATTTTTGTCATTATTTTTTTTATTATCAGATTTGCTGGAAAATTTGGGTCTATAGTCCCCTCCCATTATAGCCATTAAAAGGTGTTTGAGACCTTCACCTGCTCCCATCTGCTACAGAGGAAACTGCAGTTGTAAATACAACCTTGCGGTACATAATGATGAACCTTTTCTGGTATGAATGTATGTTATACCTGTCTGCTCTCAGCAAGGCATGAATTAACATTTGGAAATACAGTCCTTCAACTGTTCTGCTTCAGTTTTGCCAGCTGTAAGTTAGAATTAATACCTTCCAGCTTCAAAAGACTCTTTTGAGAAATGTGGGTAATTTGTATAAAATAATTATGGAATATTCCCTGAGATTAGAGTTCCTTAGTATTTTATTTTTGCTGTGGAGATGGCTAGTGGTACTTCTATTTTGTAGACCAAATAAGCATAATTTCCTTCCTCAGGTCTGTGACTCCTATCCTACTGAAGTGTATGTACCAAAGTCTGCGACTGCACACATCATAGTGGGGAGCAGTAAATTTCGGAGCCGAAGGCGTTTCCCAGCTCTCTCTTACTACTACAAGGATAACAATGTAAGTGTGAATTTGTAGGTTTGAAGTGGTTGCTTATTTTGGCCTTGCTTTCATAATCTTCTAGTAAGCTTTCACCAGAAGAAATCAGTGTTTATTTAAAAAAAATAAAAGACAGTTAGTGCAGTCTGTTTAGTGTGGTTTGTACATATGGGCACACTCTGGCATTATGGTTAGTTCATTAACAGGCATTTAATGTAGTCATTTAAACCCACCTTCATCATTTAGCTAACACAAAAACCCACGATCCCCTTATCACAAGGAAGTGAACTAGTACAAGGGGGCCTGAAACATGGGTGGCAGAAGAGTGAAGGCCAGTAGCAGGCAGCTTAGCAGGTGAGTGGGAGTAGAACAGAGCATTTTAGGATCTGGTATCCACAGCCTGAGAGCAAGTCGAGGAGAAGAAAAACAATACTTGCAGCAATTGGAAAATCAGGAGTAGCCTCTCAAGAAAAGACCTGTGAATAGGCCCAAAAAGGATGGATGAAAGAGCTACCAAATTTTGGCTGAGCAGTGTGTTGTGGCTTTGTTGAAAGGACTTTCCTTTTTTGTAAGTGAGGAGTGCCACCTTCTCTTCTCCATAGCAGATATTCTCAGGACAGAGTAAGGAACTGCCTCACTTGTCTGTAACCATTTGGAAAAGACCCTGTACCTAGACTATTTGCATTTCTGTTTCTGGCCGCTGTGGTACAGGAGACCCTTTGAACTGAAGGATCCTGTGCACTGAGTATTTTCACATTTGCATCCCAGCCCCCTAGGGACTGTCTTAGCTCAGCTGTCATTACCAGTTAGGAGGATGGTGTCCCTTTTGTACTCATAAAGGATCTATGTGTTTAATATCTCCTCCTGTTTCAGTTCCAGAGTGGCATCTGCATCGAGAGGTCTTCACTAGTGCTGGGAGATGGCCAGGACTTCCCAAGAGGCAGAGCTAGTGTGGGATTACAGGGCATCTGTAGAGTATGCTACGCAGAATGGGAGATATTTCTGTAGGATGTCACAAGCAGGAATCATAAGCTGCAGTCTCCATGGAAATCTTATCTTTACAGTGGCCCCTATCATAGATTTAAGCTTCAGAAGGAAGGAATGAGGAGGAGTCTACCATTATTTTGACTCCTTTCTTCAGCAGAATTCTGCTTCTATAAAGATCTATGAATTGGACAACAGAATGAGAGGATATGAAGATTTAAATAGTAAATACAGTCTCTGCATAAACTGCATATTATCTTTATTATTTCATTAAGACTGAAATTTTCAAAATTAATCACTTGGCATAATCAACTAAGTCCAAATACAGATATCTAGGATTCAAAACATTTGGACATTTCCAAATCTCAGTGAAAGAAAAGGTGTCAGGGATCAGCTAGATTCCAATATACAGTGATCCAGTTTCATGGTTTCAGCCTGAATGTTTTCCCTGTTGTGGTTGGAGTTCAGGTTAAGGTTCAGACCACCAGGATCTGAAGGATTGTGTTTACTTCTTGATTCTTTGTGGTTCAAAGGGCTAGGAAAAGGGTTGGAAATGTTGGAGGAAATACCTCCTTCTGAGTTTGGAGGCTGGCATGAGTTGCAAGCTAATAGAGTAATGGGCAGGAGTTGGGTAAGATTTGTAATGGTAGATATTGAACAGCTGTGGTGACAGCAGGCTGGGAAGAGGTCTGCTGCATGCAAAGGAGACGAGTGTCACTCATTCAGTCTTTCATAGCCAGAATTTTCCCATAGCTCTTTGGTACTGACAGAGTCAATGATGATGTGACACCCTACTTTGCGTCTTACAGGATCTGTGTGAATATTATAAGATCAAACTCTGGAACTATCTATCGAGCCTGTGCAATAGCAAAATGTGACCTTATCTCTTGCCTTACTCTTAAACATAGCCCAAGAAATTTTATAGACATATGTGCTTATCAAGCAACTGGCCTAGGTCAGCAGGAGGTGGTCTCTTCATGGTTATAGTGGGTAGTGATTTCCACTTAAAATACTTAATGGTCACTAGGTCAGCTTATCTTCCTAGTTTTGCAGTACTGGCAGTGCAGCTGTTTCTTAAGGTGGGGCTAAACATGATCTTAACCCCAAGGCTAACTTGATAGACAAGCTATTCTCTCACACTGGTGCCAGCACATACCTTAGCCTTTTGGGCCCCCAGGATGATATAAAGTAATGGGCTCTAGCACATGCTTTCCTGAATCCTACCCTTCATCCACAAGCCTAACTTTAACCTTCATCTTGAGGGCCGTATCTGCCTTGAGGATGGTACACTATGGATGAGAGACAAATGTCTTCCTTCTGTTAAAATGACAGGTTTTCACCCAGAGGGTGGTGGAGCACTTGAATAGACTCCCCAGGGAGGCAGTCATGACACCAAGCCTGACAATATTCAAAAAGCATTTGGACAACACCCTCAGACACATGGTCTGAATCTTGTGATTGTCCTGTGCTAGGACAGGAGTTGGGCTCAATGATCCTTGTGGGTCCCTTCCAACTCACAACATTCTATGATTCTATGATATTAATATGTACCCTTTGCTTCATCCAAAAGAGGTATAAGCATATATTAAATTACTGAAATATGTGCTGATCAGCAGCTAGATAGCTAATAATCTGTTTGCAAAAAACATTAATAAAGTATGAACAGGCTTTCACACAATTCAGAGTTTCTGTATTAAAGATCCACCTTTTATCGAAGACTTGGCTGAAAATGAGCATGTCCCTTCTCACAGTAATAAATAATCTGTAGGGCAGTCTGCATGGGTCACGACCTTCAGCAAGCAGATTCTCTTCATGCTTATGTTTAGTGCTTAGGAAGTGCATTTATTAGTCCCTTGCCCGTTACAAATCTAGCTGCCCTCTGCCTAGCAGAAATGAAAACCTCACTGCTCACCCATTTCACATGCTGTTCTGTCTTTCCCAGTTTCATCTGGGGGTCTGATCCTGATGGGTCTGGGGAGAAACTCTCTTACCTTCTGCAGTAGCACTGATGAATAACTGTAGCCCAGGAGTCAGGCTGCCTGACCCACTTCCCTTGCATCCTTTCTCCAGAGGCAGTGCTAAAAATACACCAGCAGTGATCTAGCTGCATGTTATGCATTTTTGTTTCCTGGACTCATGGTGTCTCAGGCATTTAGTCAAGCATGCATTGGTGTAAGTTTGGTATCAGTATCGTAACTGGTAAGTGTGAGTGGCAGTGCAAAAGGACCCATTCCTCATGCTGTATCAGTGTTCTTGCGATTGCAATGGTGTACGCATCACGTCCTCTAAAGGCCACCTTTCAGAAGTTATTCAACATTGGAAAAAATATTATATTTAAAATAGCTCTAAAACTTCGATTCAAGACTAATCCTGGGCCAATGGGGTTGTATTGTTTTAATATTTCCCTGCCTTTTAAAAATGAATTTGTTTATTAACATGTAATTCCATTTACCATTCTGCCCTTCCCATGTAACTGTACAGCTATGGAAACATCTATGACCTGGTTTTGCATATGCTTCTGGATGCTAAATAATTTCTGCTTAATAAATATGTTGATTTTTTTGTTTTGCTTTGTTTTTCTGCAGGCATCCATATGTAGAAGCAGCCAGCCTTTATCCGGCTTTAGTGCTCGATGCCTTGAGGATGAACAGATGCTCCAGGCCATTAGGAAAGCAAATCCAGGAAGTGATTTCCTATACGTTGTTGATACTCGGCCCAAAGTAAGTACATTAAACTTCTTACACATAGCAAGAGTGAATGTGGGCTGAATACATTAAGGAAGATGCACAGCTCAAATGACTGACCACACTTCTGATCTTACTTGTGTAACTCCATTTGTAAATCAAGATTTATCAGAGGAATCTTAGCTAGAAACCTTGCTCACATTTTTATCTCTTAGAAAATATTTTTCTTTACACTGAGCTTTTCTCTTTTTTGTTCTTAACAAAATGTTAAGACACAGAAAAGTAAATAACTTGGAATAGTAACTGTTTCTTCACACAGAAGAGCTATCAGTAACTATATTACTGATGAGGCTAGTGAAAAATAATTCCCGTTATAAAACTGTATTTACAGTTGTTTGTAATGTTGCAAAGCTGTGCCTGCTTATACTAAAATTTTCCATGCACGTTTTCTCCTGCAAGTGGGATAATGTCTAACAGCCTCTGCATAAGGCTTAGGAAAGACCATTTACTGAGGTTACAAGAACTGAGGACACCTTCTTTGAATATCTCCAGCCCTTTTATGTTTTTGAAAGAGAATCTGAAATAAGGTAAATAGTGATCTCAGATGTCATATCTCTCTAATTCACTAAAATCTTTGGCCGAGATAAAAGCTTTAGAAAAAATTATAATGTGCAGAAACACAGAAACTCAGTAATGATCTAGAAGAGGTTGGAAACTAAAAATGCCTTGTGTCCAGACTGGCATGCTAGCAAACAGCATAAGGTGATGAGGACTAGATAGGCTCCAGCATCTGGAGGTGGGAGTGGGGATATGTTCTTTCTTACGCTATCAGTAGTTTCCCTGTTGAAGTTACCAAAGCATCTGAAGAAAAGAAACCGAAGGGGCAAATCTCTGCAAAATCCCTAGTAGATATAGGATGAGCTATAGTGCAGGAAAAGGCAAAATGAGAGCAAAGGCTTGAGGAAAAGGAGCAAGGAAGCTGTTTCAGTATTCTGAGATCAGGAGACAGAGCCTGAAAGGACAAGGTGGGAAAGCTGAGAAATGTGAGGAATTGCCCAAGGAAGGGCAAACCTGGCAGAGCTGGAGCAGAAATGAGGAACCTGTCTGGTTGGTGATTGACTGAAGACCTGGGGAATGGTGGGGAAGTGCTGAGTGCTCACAGCTGTAATGGGAGACAGTTCCCAGAAAATCAGCACCTTGGCATGTCTTATTGCACTTTGTAGTTTGGTGACTACTTTGACCTTCAGTTCCCTCTTTTTTATTAGGAAGATAGTTACAGCATATTTCCTGGCTGATGATACTGGTGCTGTGAATCGTGATGAGCACTAGGAAAGGATTGGTACCACTGTGTTCAGAAAAGGCTTTAGATAGGAAGTACAGACCTAACTGCCTAAATAATACGTGCTTAACAGTTTTCTATATGTAATAATAGTTACAGCATATTTCCTGGCTGATGATACTGGTGCTCTTCCCTAATTAAGGAGGTTGCTCACCGATGGGATTTATTACTAATGACTTACTGACTTGGCTATTAATGATGTTTTACAAGGTATTGATAGGAAGGTCCCATTCTGTAAACTTTTCTGGTAAATTACTTTGGTGAGGCACCTCCTGTGTGCAGTGAAAAAAGCCTGTATTTAAAGTAGAGAGAGTGAAATTGGCTCACTTAGCCATCAATGATGGTGTATTTCCAACAATGCTGACTTATTCAGGAGCCAGTCAGAAGATGAAGACTGTTTGTTTTCATTTAACTTCTCTGGAAAAAAGGGGTTTGATATAAAGAAATTTGTATACACAGATTCCTACTTCTTTCTCTCCGCACTGATTTACTGAAGCTCCTGTGATCCCAGGTGCCAAATACAGCCTTCTTACAGTTTTGCACCTCTTAATGTATATATAAATCTAGAGCATGTAGGAAGTGATATGTACCAGTGCAAGCTGTTCCTGGCATTCTTCAGGGAACCTTTAACAGATGTAAAGCTAAGATACTGAGCCTGGTGCAAGGTTTCCTGTTGCTCTAGGAAGCTAAAAAACTACTTGCCTCTTCTCTCAACAGAACTGCTTCCTTGCAAAGATTATGAATACTGATGGGCCCTTCAATTCAGCCTTCCCAAGTGCTCTTCACATGCTGTCTCTTGTTGCTCTTGATAATCTTCAAAACAAAAGATTTGGCTGTGGAAGAAAGCTGTTTCCACTTTATTTAAATATATCAAGATGACTATATGCAGAGCTTTACTTAGGCTACTGTCTTTCTTAATTTTCTCCTTCCTCTCTATGTTTACAGAAGAAGCTAATATAAACTTACTTTTTATGAGTAAAACAAATTAGTTCTATAACAAGCCAGAACGCAGTTATCCTCCACATTCAAAAAGATGCCAGGAAATCTGGCAAGTGAGGTCTGTTTCCTTTAGAGATTGTATCCTTATATTCACTGAGATTAAGTGAGGGCAGGCACAATTTAGAGAGCTTTACAACAACTACTTTGAGAGCAACAGATGGAATTTTGGTAGGTGATGTGGAAAACTTGTTAGTAAATATTGTGGCAGCTGCAAAGTTTGGCAACTGACAATATTTAAAATAAATGAGTGTCAGAAAGCAAATTTAACCTTATATTTATTTACTTTTTAAAGAGGGCTATTTAAGATTATCTTTTAAGAAAGGATTTATTTGATAAAATTGCTCTGCTGCAGAGACAGTTAATAGCATTTACTGTACTGAGGATCAGGTCAGTTAGGGGCTAGATGTTTTTCATTTAGGGTTTCGAGGGTTTGTGGTGGCTTGGACTCATGCGTACAGATCTTTCTTCCTGAAGCTCTACGCTATCGCAGAGAGAGACTGCTTCATGTTGTTTATACTAGAACACTGATGTCTACTTCAAAAGACAAAGATTAGGATTCAGCAGATAATTTGTATCTTTCTAGCAAGTCACACTGAGGACTCTGTCCTTAGAAGACATGCTGTTCACAGACTGTATTTTTTTTTAATTGTACATTGGCAGTTAAAACATCAGCAGACCGCTGGTTGGGAGACAAGAATTTTTTTCGCCTGTGCTTTTTCCTGAATTGTATACTACAAATTAAAAGAAGTTTTACACAAGACTTGAGTAAATTAAAAATGCTGGGGTTTTGCCTAGGTTCCTATCTTAGAGGATGGTTCCTTCTGTTGTATCATGAGATTCATGTTTGAATTCCTAATGATGGTCCACAAATGTAACTATGTATTCCTGTTGCCAAGTTCTGCTCATGGGAATGGATGCACTAGAAAGTGTGAAGATGAGAAAAAAATCCCCTATCTTCTCATATTAAATTGGACAGAATAAAAAAAAAGAAGTGGTCTCACCTATCTGTTTTCTTATGCATCTAAAAAGAAATTCTAATGGCATAAAAAGCTTTTAGTCTTCAGCTGTTTCCCTTGAAAGTTAAGGGGTCAAATTTGGTCCATGGAAACCTATTTTGACACATGATGTAAAAAAGCTGGACTTGTCCATCTTAGTTGGACGTAAGTAGGCAGCAGACAATCAATCCTGCTCAATTGCATGCATTTGATTCCAAATTAAAATTGAATATCATGAGTATGTTTGTTTGGGGTGGAAGAGATCATAAAGAGACACGTTCTTGTATATCCCATGATACCATTAGCTGAGTACTGAAGTATATTATTGTGAGTTTCAGAAGTGACCACAGAAGCAGCAAATCAATAGTCCTGCCTGTGATATTGAGAAATAAACTGGAAATTGAGTTATCTGCATGGTCTTTTATTCCCTAGGCAATGCCTAAGAGATACTTTGTTTTGATATTTCACGAGCATTGGTTCTCACCACAATGAAGATGAGTCATTTTTTGTCCACCTGATGCCTCATAAGCTCTCTTCAAAAGCTTCATTAGTACCCTCCTGTCTGGATGCGCTTATATCCATTGTTCTTAAATCTTTTCTGAGCAGAAGCTGTTAGCTGTGCTTGGAGGCATGGAGGTTCTGCCATATGGGCTGCTTTGTTGCTCCTGGAGTCTTCTTCTTTCTTGGAAAGTTCAAAGGCTGCCCAGCTTTACAGCCTGTATTTCATAGGAGAACAGGGACTTTATGCAAAAAGACAATTTCTTTCTATAGGACAGTGAGATTTTGCTATAGGAAACTAAAAAAAAAGAGATAAGGTAATAAAGTAAAAGTACTTCATTCATTTATATCAGCTTTAGTTTTCAGCTCAGAGATCAAAATTTGGCATAAGAGGCTTGGCAGTTTTCGTTTCCCCAAAGAACCTCAAAAGGAGGGAAAATAAGCATTGAAAAACCTCTTAATTTTAAGCTTGGAGAAACTGAACTAAAGAAACATTTATTGAATTTCCCATGCCAGGAAGAAAGTAACAGATTCAAAGACAAAACTCCAGCTTCCAGTTGAATGTATTTTTTGCTGAAGCACAGCAAAATATTTGAGAGCACTGCATTGCAAATGAAAATATTTGTGGTAGTTTTGTCAGTTCCAATCTTTTGTGGTCTTACACAACTAGAGCCAAGATACTATAAACTTAGGAAAAGCTACTCCAACTCTTTCTTCATTATTCCAAGCTTCAAAGCTGTATCAACTTTTGGATGATTTGAGCAGTAAAATACAGTAATTTGGGCAACATGACAGTGTACATATGCTACGAAACAGTGGCACAGCAGATAAGACACTGCCACCTTCTGGGTATATTCTGCTAGTAAACATAATGCTGATCAAAAGTGAAATCAGAATAGCCTTTTAAAACCAAGTTTAAACGATTATACTCTTGCAGAGGAGCCCTACATAAGCTGTGGTTTTTTGTGTTTAACCTCACTAATGAAGTTTCACTCCAAGTGCGTGAAGTAGAGCTCAGAGCCTCAGCAACCCAGCACCCTGCAACAGGCTGTAAACAGATCCCTGATTCCTAACCCTTTGTGATGACACTGTGATAAATGCTTCCTATTTGTGTGATTTAAATCACTGATTTATTGCAGTAGACCACAAGCTTTGTTTTGAAAAGAATCTGTTTGCTTCTTGTTTTCATCCAATTTTCCCTATTTTTTCCAGCTCAATGCAATGGCAAACAGAGCAGCAGGGAAGGGATATGAAAATGAAGACAACTACTCCAACATCAAGTTTCAATTCATAGGCATTGAGAACATCCATGTCATGAGAAGTAGTCTGCAGAAAATGCTTGAAGGTAATACTCTTCCTTATTGAAAACTAGGGGAAAGATTTGATCCTTCTATCATAGAAATCAGCAGCAGTGAAACACGTGTGTGAAAAGAGATCTTTGCCAGTTGCAGCTGCATGCAGCTGCCTGCTGGCTAATGGAACTTATGCAATGGAGCATTGTCACAACTGGTAATGATTTCCTAATTATGCAAACACCTTGTTTTGTGGGTGTAAACCAGATATTTAATTTAATGACAAAATTCATTTGACTTTAACACACCTTACTGCTACTACGTCTTTTGTGGTTTACAGTTTGATGGTATAATGAAAAAATCACTTGGGGCTGACTTTGATGCTAGTGGAAAACATAATATTTTTTTTAAGCTCAGAAAACCTATGTTTTGATTTTTCTATGTTGTCAATAAGGAGGTAATGCTTTTTAGACTATGAATTTTAATAGAAACTTACTCATGCCCTGTATAGAACATGTCACATCAGGTTTATTTATGAAACTCACAGTCAATGGGTGTAACCATTCAGCACCTTCATAATCCCATGGAAATGAATAATAATTGCTTTATAAATACTTATCAGTGTATAAACAAGCACATAAACAAGCACATCTGTACTGCCGTTTAATATTTGGATTACATTACTGTTTAGAGGCCTTCTGGGAAAAGGGTAAGAATAAATAAGCCATCCTTGACCCTCAATGGCTTGTTGATTTTTAACAAGCAAATAGTAAATAGTGCTCACTCCACGAGTCTCAGTATTTACTTCATGTATACCATCAACACCTTCTGTCACCTCCTGGATCAGCTTGATCTAGCAGTTCTTGACTTGATGCTGTGCCCACGCTCTTTTATTCTTCATCTGTCTCCCATTGTCTGTATGCAAATGTGAATTTTAGAGCTAAGAAGGGCTTATGTTTTCCATGACAGGAGAGCTGTGCTCTGTTTTCAAATAAGAGCAATTTATGAAAATGAGCAGTAGAGTGTGATGCAGGTGAAACAGTCACTCTCTTCATGACATATTTTTCTTAATTCCTTGGTCTAAGTGTCTCAGGAAGGAAAATAGGAGGATTTTCAGTTCACATCAAAGTCTTGTTTGGCTAGGAGAGAGTCCGGGTGAATAAACCTGTCCCTTTATTTGTTCAGCTGAAGATCATCAAAGATAAATCAGTAAACAACCTGGCTGCATGGGACAGTGTTGTGTATCTTTTTTGTGACAAAAGTTCCTGAGGTAGGTCCATGGCCCAAACTGACATGTAACAAGGTGCTTTCTAATTCATTTAACACTCCAGCCTGCTTGGGGGGTCTTAAGTTCTAGGCATCTATTTTTAAATGAGCCATATGCTCAAAACATCTACTTTTTTCATAGATTTTATGTTTGCTATGTTAAAATCTCATGTTTAGCAACCCGGCTGATAAGATTAGGAATTAGAGAAGCTAAATCTGCCATTGCAAGTACTTGAGGCTTTCAAGTACTTTTTTTTTTCTTTACTATCTATCTTAAGACTTTCAGTGTACTAGCAGGGCTTTTCTCGTGTCAGGTCCTGCATAGTTTTTATCTTTTCCATTTGTATCAGTGTCCATCTGTTTCTCTGGTGGCCTTTGGGAGGGTATTTATTAACTGACTTGTGCATACAAAGGGAGGCAGAACCAAAAAGGTTTTGCAAGGACAATGATAACATACATTTAATATGGCTTTAAATTTTTAGCAAGGGGTACTTAAACATACCTAGGTGAATCTCTAAGGTAAAACATCAAACACTACAAACAGTACAAAATAGGTCTGCAGCTTGTGATCTGTTGTGAGATGTTATAGGCTACACAAAAACCTTTGAAAAAACAAATCAGGCTGATGAAAACTGATTTTAGTTCAATGTGTGCTGTATTGTTGCTTGGAAGTGTACAGTATGGAAAAGAGGTCATCAAGACACAATGGGTCAGAGGTGTTGTGGGACTGCAAGGGCAATTTTATTCAACTTACTGGATTTAAGAGGAAGTGAAGGTTGGAGGATTTTTTCACATAAGAGACTGCAGATTATTCTCAATAAATAATTTTAAATAACTTCCAATGCTAAGGAAATTTGTACAAAAATTGATTATTCAGTTTGCCATTGGAAAATGCACTTTTGAATGTGTTCATTTCAATTATGTTTCTTTAGGAAAAAGCTGAATAAATTAATTTATACTTATAATAATGTCAATAATTTATTTGCGTAGGTAGAAAAAAATTGGTTTCAGCTTTGTGATTTTACTGACTTTAATTCTAGCAATTTTATTTATCTTAAATTTAACATGTATTTACTCTTCTATAATGTTAGTTCTTGGTAAAATATATCAGCATTATAAAACGTTTAAATTTGTAGGATAATGAGAATTTTTTCAGAATATGCAATAAATGTTGAGATTTGACTGTACTCTAGAAGTAAAATGCATTTCAATGAGCTGGAATTTCCTTCCAGAAAAAAAAAAAAAAGTTTAACTTTTCCCTCTGCTGCCTCATATTGCTTTAGTATGGTGTTGATTTTTTTATTTTCATTAAAAGAAAGGTATATGCGAAGATAATTGTGATAATTTTGAACCTGCACACAACCTCCATAAAATAAGTTTTAATATAGAAGAAAATGTTGCAAAAGGACTTTTCTCTGTAAAGATCCAAGGGCTGACTGAGGCTGCTGTTTGGCACTTGTGATGGGGTGAGCTTTGTTGTACATCCAGGGGCCAACCAAGACTTGTGCATTGAGATGATGACCCCACATGCTCCCTGTCTGTATTTAAAAAGCAAATATGAGCTTCTCCTCCCCTCATACCAAGAGCAGTAGTTGCTGATGTAAGAGCAGCCCTCTGATCCTTGGACTTCAGTGGCAAATCAGCCAGCAAGACAGCCTGAGGGTTTGGTCCGCAGCATTTACTCCTTGTTCTACCTATGGCTGTCCTGCCAGAAATGGAACTGGTCCAGCATCCCCCTCTGGTACTTTTGCTGGTGGAAGAGGCAGTTTCCACCATATATCCTGTTTCCTCCTCCCCTCCTGGGGAAAGAAGCACTGCTGGATTCCTACAAGCCCTGCCCAAAGGCTCTTGATTTTCCTGTGCCCACACAGCGGGTGCAGTAGGTCTTATTTCTCCAAGATTTTGGTTCTTTTTCTGCTGAGTTGGAAACATCTTTTCCCCTTAGGATAAGCCTCATAATCAAATTCATAATTGAATTTGGTATTAAGGTCCAGATCAGTAGCCAAAATCATGTGAAATATAGATTGTATATCTTTAGGACAGTCTGAACTTTGCTCAGTGAAGTGGTCGGTAAATATTGACTCTAATTTGGTAGCGGGAACGAGCAAAGCACTATTTCAGACGAACCTTGGGCTTTTGTAAACAAAGACAGCAGCTTCAGCCAGAATTCAGCTGCTAATTGGTCATGCTTCCATCTGCCCAGGAGTATTAATCATGTGAAAAGCTGTTTGCTTTCAGTGCTGCTATCTATGCATTTTTATAAATATCCTTCAAAAATGACTTTTAAAATAACCATCTGGAAGAGGCCCTATGTTCAAAGATTGCAAGACTTTGTTTGGACACATGAGGCTATTTTGCCTCTAAATTAAATGGAGTTAAGACAGTCAGATGTGTTCAGATCTGGTATAAACTCTGACTTTGGTTTGTAAAATTAAATTCCAATTACATTGAAGGAAGCTGAAGTTTTACCACTGGTCATAATGGCCATAACTGTCTTTTAGAAGATTTCCAGAGAACAAGAGACCTACTAAAACATTATTAATTCACAGATCAAACATTAACTTAATAAAAACCATGACATTTTTCACTGTATTCCTTAAATGTGTTTCACTAGCTAATATATTTTTTCCTGAAAAGACACTATAATTCTACTTGGATCAAAATAAATGCATGAATTATGGGGTGAATGTAGTATCTCACTGTTGAAAATAGATTGCACTGAACATTGCTGAGTATTTGTTTGCTGCTGGATTGAGGTATCTGAATTAGATTCTGATTGCCTTTTTTTCTTCTGATGTCACAAACTCTGTAATATTAAGAAACAGACACTTGGATGCAGCAGGATAGAAACGTAATGTTGTAAAAACCAGGAGATTTTTTCTTTTCTTTAAACAATGCATGGAGCTCGGAAGGTTTTCAGGAAAATATTTTCCTTGATGAATTACAGCTTTTCCTCATCATCAGAATACTTTCTGGCTACAAGTGAAGTTTTAATAAGGTTTCATTCAGGGATGAACTGTTGAGTCAATTGCTTTATCTCAAACACCATCAGCTGTGGTGATGCTGAAGGCTGGGTTTGGTGGGCCTGCTCTTACCGAGCTTCGTCAGCAAACGTGGCTGGGAACAGGAGGCTGTGGCACTATTTAGGCGGCTGTCTGACAGCAGAAATTTTATGCTTTCTCTTCCCAAGCCCTCATCATTAAACAGAAGATCCCTTCTCAGTGGTTTGAAAACTTTGCTCCCAACATAATTCTGGACAATCTGTGCTGCACAGAAGGATGTGTTTGGTAAATTGTTTGGTAAACCTGCTTTGTAACAGTGTGTTTTGTTAAACCTGCTTTGTAACAGCTTCTCTTTTTAACTTATACTAACATACATTTCTTAAATATATGCTTTTTTTTTTTCCAATGGTAAAATTTGACTGTGAAGTAGCCATTCTTTTCAAAAGATTAATGTTTTACGTGAGGAATAGCTGAAGAGATAACTCTTAGGTTGAACAGTCAGTGAAAGCTTAAGGGACTATAATTACTGTACATTTAATATGTAGCTTATTTTGCAGTTTGTGAGCTGAAATCACCTTCAATGAGTGACTTTCTGTGGGGCCTAGAAAATTCTGGCTGGCTGAAGCATATCAAAGCCATTATGGATGCTGGCATTTTTATTGCAAAGGTAAAGTGTGTAAAATGAGAACAAAACTTGGACTAACCAGACACAGAAAATGAGGACCAAATTCTCTGTGGGTAACTTTCGGCATCTTCAGTGATGTTGTATCTGGAAAAAACCCCATCTTGCAATGCTTTTTATCTGAGGACAGACAATTTTTAGGTGCTGTCATGTGGACATTTTGCTAATACGGTAAAAAAAAGTTTGTGTTCATTTCACCAAAGAATTCAAATGTACTAAGACCTCTACTAGCCTGTATCTTGTTATGCCAGGTATTTGAATGTCCTTACTTTACTCCCCAGCAGTGATTGTCACTGTTTCTTTCCTTATTTCCCATGCCTCCTCCACTGGTTTCTGGACATTTTCTTTGTTGAAGGTTTTTTTTTGAGGACTACTTCTTCACCTGGTAGCTGTAATATAGAAATATGAGCTACTGTGTTATCCCCTCTCAATTATTTAGTGAACAACTAAATTCACCTCTTAAACCAACTCTTGTGTATAACCATGGCCAAATTCTCTAGCAGCTTCTACTCTTCATACTTGAGAACTGTTTCAGGAAACAATTGTTGACTTTACTAAGAAATAATTTCACCTAATCTCATCCAAAGTAATGCAAATATTTGTCATCTACCAACAGAGTTTTAATTTTATTACCCTTAATTAATTACCCTGATTAATTTTATTACCTTGTGGTCTGCCTTTTTCTGTTTCAGTTCTTATTTTTAAGATTACAATTTCTTTTAGGCCTTTTTATTCCCATGTCCTGCTACATACAACTATAGGGATAAAACTCCATGGGTTTCCCTCTGCAGTAACTGCATGTTTCTCTTGCTTTGCTTCTTCCTGCTCAGCAGGTAACTGGTTTCTTACCTGAACAGCAGCTGTGAGATAAATGCACTTCTTATTATTTCTCCTAGCCATACTAGCTGTCATTAGCTTATAAAAATCAGGTCATTTACATTAGCTCTTGCCAAATTTTCCCCGTGGCCAGTCTTAAAATATTGTCCAAAGAAAACACATCCTCTGTATATATGCTTGCTAGCCTCGTGCCTCCTCAGACATGCATTTTGACCCGTTCTTATTTGTACAGTTCCCAGTTCTCAGTTATTGGTCTCCTGCCCACAGGGGTTCTATTTTGGTAGAATTTACTTGTCTCTTGAGATAAACATAGATAATTTATTATTATTTCTCATTCCCTATTAAGCCCAAACTTAACTTACTGCTTAGAAAAATAAACATTTATCTTTCCTGACCTATTTTATTTCTCTACTCTCTAATTTTAGTTCTCTTTAGAAATGACAAAGGCCAAACCCTTAGAATTTAAAAAAAGACCCAAGTTCCAAAAATAATGCAACACCAGGCTTTAGAAAACTTAGTATGATCTCTTCTTTGTGCGTTTATGTATAAAATGAGATCCTCTCTCCCCAGTTATTTACATTAAAGATATTAATACAATCTTGTTTATTAGATATGGAAGCTCACCACTACCACAGGCTTCCCCACAAACCGTCAGAAGTATGTCAGCAGTGTGCAACACAGCATGCTAGCTAGCTACGCTAGCACTGGCATCAGAAACAGACATTGTCGTTATTGGTATTACCATCAAGAAGGGAAATTAAGAGCCATATTGCAATTATGGCTGCTCTGTTGCTGGCGTGTGAGTTAGAGCGTTAGCAGCAGCAGCTGAATCTGCTGTGGGTAGTTGTCCACTCTGGCAGACTGATGTATTTTAATTGAAACAGATCCCACATCCTCCAACCACCTATTGCATGGGATGGGATGAGAGTAAGACTTTTCAAATGAGAGGAATAACATTCAACATAATTCAAGAACTTTGTGGCAGGATTAAAAAAAAAAAAATTAATAAGGTTTCCTAGTTTGCACATTAATGCTACCTATATTGCACTGTCTTGCTGTTCCTCTTTTACCATTGCCTTTCCCCCTGCTTGTGAAATTTCTGACTTTGTCTGTATCCTTAGGCTGTGGCTGAGGAAGGTGTGAGTGTGCTTGTTCACTGCTCTGATGGCTGGGATAGGACAGCCCAGGTTTGCTCTGTAGCAAGCCTTCTATTGGATCCATATTACAGGACTATGAAGGGATTCATGGTAAGCAGGTTCTCTTTCACAGAGTAAAGAAAAAATAATGGCATCATTTAAGATGAATGTCTTTGGTTTTAATGTACAATAAACTTTCCTTAAATATGCCCTTTTTTTAGTAGGAAGGAAGGTTTTTATCTGTCCAAGTTAGTCTCCCATTTTCTGTATGAAGTTTTATCAAAGGTGGAGATCAGTTGGTTACTCTTTTTTTTTTTTCCTAACCTTGAACAAGAAAATTTCTCACAGCTCAAGGAGCTTTCATGCAAGCAAGAGCTTGTATTCATTTTCAGGGATCAGTGAAGTTTTGAGTGTCGGACTGTGTGCTCCCTAGACATTAGATTGCAATGAACAGCTATGTTGGAAAATCTGTTCTTTTTCCAAGCAAACCAGCACTGGTAAAGCATCTAGGAATGCTTATAAAGTTACTGGTCACGCATTAAAAGAGATTTGAAACATTTTTAAGTTATATTTTAGCAAATGATGATTCAAGCTAATTGAAGTTGTGCTGAAATACTGGCATCCTACCTTCATCAATGAAGAGTGCTACTTTCTCTTGAGCTCATAGTGGTGCTGATAGGTCATTATTTTTCTGCTTATTCTAAAAATTATCTGGGCTTCTAATACTGCTTGCTTACATCATTCTTGCTTGTCACTTTTCTGCTTATTCTAAGAATTAACTGGGATTCCAATACTGCTTGTTTACACCACTCTTCTGCCTGCTTCAACATGTGTCAGCTCTGCTCCACAACACTGAACGCAATATTCTCATTTTAGGTGTTAATTGAAAAAGACTGGGTTTCCTTTGGTCATAAATTTAACCACAGGTAAGGTGGTGCTAAGGTTTTTCTATACATATATTCTATATATTTATATAGTCAGTATCCACTGCCATTCCAATTTTATTTCCTTGTTGCCTTTCAAAGCGTATCAAGAAATTAACCTCAGGAAACCACAATATCCTTTTCTCCTACTATATAATTTAGCCACCTGGAAAAATCGAAGTGAAATCTTTTCATATCAGTCTTTTCTTATATATGGACTCCAAGGCTGCTATTGGGAATCCTGGCTACTGTATCTTGCAGTTGCTATGAGCATTGAGAGTTCCATGTGAGAGAAAAGTAGTATGTATGTAGCTTGCAAAATTCCTTTGGACTCCAGCAGATCTTTCAGTAGGGCCAAGACTTCCCACATAAGTCCCTGTTCAGCAAAGTCTACATCTTCTAGGACAGTACTTAATCTTAGGCATGTTTGCAAGTTATCTATTAAGTAAAATATATTCTTGTTATTATGCTCTATTCTAATGAAAACAGTAGGATTTGTTCAGAAACATCAGGCAAAGGGAAGTGGAAAGTCATCTGTTTGGACAAGTTATTTTGTACATCCCTTATCTAAATGCAATAATGTAATGAAAATGTTTGAAGGCTTTATATGTTTAAACATGGATAAATATCCACATTTTCTTTCTTGTATTTCTTTTAGATTCTGTAAAAATATAAAATACAATTTTATATTGGAGTTTAATTACATTATATTGATTGGTTTGAATATAAATTTATGTTCTAGTTTCAAAACAAACCAACAAAAGTTTCAGGAAATCTGCGCAGCTCCACAGCACCTGTGGAATTTCAGCAAGAATTACTACATTTAATATGATACCGTCAGATGTCTATTATTATCAGTGGTGAAAGATCTTATGAAATGCAATCACCACTGATAGCTTTGGTTTGCAGTACTATATTGCAATACTCTCCTTGACGCATAATAATAGTAAAATTAGAGGTTTCAATTTTAGATGTTTATGGAATTCCAGTCTGTTGGAATATATATATATATATATATATATATGCAAGCTCTCTCTCTCTTTCTCTCTCCCCCCACATAAGCAATACACTAGACAAGCAGAATAATTAATTGAAAATACATCTTCCCATTGGATAGACTGAAAAAATATTTTATACTTCTGTACGGTTTTTATTTTCAGGCTCCTGTTCTTCAAGGTACCCCATTGCAAGTGGTTCCAACAGACATTTTTATAGACAGAAAGTTTGATGTTCACTTGACAGATACAGTAACATGTAAACATTTCCCACTTTCTAAAAATTTCACCAAGAGAGGGCAGCTTTAAACTGTTTTCTGCTAAGGTTATTCTGTTCGTCTCCTGCTTATTTTTCTGGTTTTGGGAATGGTCTGGCATTGAGCAGCTGTCTGATACGTTTATGTCATTAAGCCATTTCAGTCGTTCTTATGATGACTTATGTTACTGTGGTATAACTTTATATTAATAGCATTAAAACATGGCTGTGCAGCAGCCAGCTATTAGTAGCTGTAAGGCAACAAGACACCTCTTTGGTTTTTTATTTGTATTTGATAAATTCTGCCTTCATTTTACTCCACAAATCTCGCACCATTTTTGTAAGTAAAAAAATATACTAGTAATAAAAATTTTAGAAATGAATGCCTATGATGTAACACACACTAAAAGTGAAGAGTTTGTTTTCATTAGTGTTAAATTCAGTTTTCCCCGAGGTTTTCAGTTTATAACTGAAGGTGTCTTGTCTTGTTTCAGGTATGGCAATTTAGATGGAGATCCAAAGGAGATATCCCCTGTTATTGACCAGTTCATTGAATGTGTATGGCAGTTAATGGAACAGTTTCCTTGTGCCTTTGAATTCAATGAGAGATTCCTCATCCACATACAGCACCATATCTATTCTTGCCAGTTTGGGAATTTCCTGTGTAACAGCCAGAAGGAGAGACGAGAGCTGAAGTATGAAATCATGTCGTGTAGTAGTATTATTTACCTGTTGGGTTTGTGGGTCTTGTATTTAGGAGTCAGACATTTGCCAGCTGCCATGCATGTGCTTTCATAAGGTACAGTGTAGACTTCTTGGCTGTTGTCTTCTGGCAACACAGATTAATACTGAAAATATCTGATCCTCTGCAATGTGGCTCTGCCGGGAGTGTAAGCCACAGTGTGCGTGACAGGGATTAGTGAAAACTGACAAGAGCATTAGCCCTTCAGCCATGTGGCCCTACCTTTATTGTGACATTAACAACATACAAGGCAAGCTGTCACTGTAGCTCTAATACAAGATGATATTAACTCTAGTTAAGTTCTGTGTGAGAGTCACTGCTCTTCTGTGTTTTAACCTGTCTTTGCATTTCATGTCAGGATGCTTTAGTCTTAACTTCTCGGATACTTTCGAGTGGCCTTTCTGGCTGGTAATCCTCCCTAGGACTGAGTCAGCAAACTGTCCTTCTGCTCTTTGGCCCCAGAGCAATTATGTATTAATCTACCTCCCCCAGGCCCAAACAGAGACAATGATATCACTCCTGGCAGTGCTCATGTTTGTAACTGCTTCCTGAGTGGCTCTGGCTCCTCAGGTACATCATGATACCCGCTGCTCTTCTCATGCATCCAGATGGTGTCAGCAGTAGTAACGAGAGGAAGGTGGGAGTTGCTGTTTGCTGCTGACGTTTGGTCCCTTTCACTGCTCAAATGCAGAGCAGCCTCAGTGCCACAGTCCATTTAAAATGACCTTCACCGGCCATCATATCCCAACACCTAATTGTGTGAGAAATTGCAGCTCAGCGGTGCAGGAGTGCTTTTAAATGTGCTGATCCCTTTGGTATAGAAATTGGTCTCAAAACTAATTTTATGGAAGCAATCCTCTCCATCTCACAAAGGAACCCCTCTTCTCCACCTTTTCTCACCAGGTGCTCTGGCTTCATGGGAAATGGACTGGATTTTGCCTTTAGTGACAAACAAAGGAATATGGGTCTCTGTTTTTCCGTATTTATAACTTCAGTCTGATTCTGTTAAGGAAGTATAGAGCTGACTGTAAATGAGTTGTACAGAGTACTAGAGTGTTGCATCTAATCTCTAGCTGTACCTGAATTGTAGTAGAGACTTTATTTTTATTTTTTTTTTCAGAATCCAAGAACGAACATATTCATTGTGGGCTCACTTGTGGAAAAATCGTGCCGATTACCTGAATCCTTTGTATAGGTCAAACCACAGTCAAATGCAAGGGACCCTGCGCCCACAGATGGCTCCATGCAACTTCTTGTACAAGTAGGTAATATCACTTGCTACTGAGAATTGTAGGATGTGTTAGTACAGAACAGAGTGCCTTTGTATTTAAGTATTTCTCATTCCATAAGGTAGCTTATAGAGAGTAAATTCAGTCTCAGAAGCAATGTGTTTGTTTCCTTGTGTGCTCACGGTCAGCCAACACCTCTGCACCATTCTACAATGGAGTATTAGTCTGAAAAGAAGCTTAAGATTAAAGCTATATTGATAGTTGTGTGTCCTAATTTCACGGTTACTCACTTCTTCCACTGAGAATTGGCTTTCAGTTCTGTTCTTGTCTGTGGTTTCTAAATTTAAAGTTGCTTAAACATCTTCCATTCAAGATTTTGTGATGATTATTCGGATCAATTGGTGTCAAAAATAAAAAAGGACATTTCAATAAATCATATGGTTTCATTGCTAAAATAAGTGCTTAGTAAAACAAAAAGCAGACTTTCCCCATGTTGTTATACCTCAAAGTACTCACAGTAAGTTTTACTTGATCTTTTTCCAAAATGTAACAAAATATCAGAAATGGTAGTATTGACATTCTGACTTGAGAAATTAATTGTGCCATTAATCTTAACAAACTTAAGGAGAACTTGATTAGAAATTAATGAAAACTGTGATTTAAGTAAAACTGATAAATTTGTTTCGCAATTATGAGTAGAAGCACATGCTAAAAAGACAATAAATATCCTAAATGACAGAAACTTAATTCTTTCACATCTACTATTCCAGGTCACATCCACTTTAAAACAATTTATAAATAGTCATTAGTTGTATTCATTAGGATACGGTTATGCTCAATGATCTTAAAGATCTTTTGCAACCAAAACGGTTCTGTATTTCTATGATTCTATGATAGTGGCATTTATAGAAGTACTCATACCGCAGATCTGCCATCAGATGAGTAATCCTGTTGATTTTAATGGAATTACTTAGGTTCATAAAGATTCCAAGCATGAGCTATCAGATGATAAGAGGGAATGCGACTTAAATAGTATACTATTGGGGTAGGAATAATAAACCACCAAGGAGCATACATGTGCTCCAAAAATGCCTGTCAGCTACTTGGCTGGAGAGCTGCAGCTGAGGGCAAGTCTCTCAGTTACTTAACCTGTCTGGTGAACTAGTTACATACTCAGAGTCTGGCTGTGGCCATGTATTGCCAGGAAGACAGAAGACAAGGAGGAGTGCTGGACTTACAGTTCAAGTCCGTCCTTCCTGAAAATGAAAAATCAACTCAGCTGCTTAACTAAAGGTTTGTCTAAATAACTGACTAAATAATTCCATAGAACAGGAAGAGAACTTGCCAATGTATATGCTTCATGAAATTTCCATAGGTCAGTTTAAATTTTAAGAGAACAGAACACCATACAGTTTTTTTTACTCCTGATTTTTAACTCTTCTTTACAGGGGAAAAAAAACCCTGTTAACTAGCTGCACCTCACAGCCCCAGAAAAAGCCAAGCATGCAGAATTTCAAAGTTGACTTCATGGGAAATTAAACAATGGCTGAGAACTAGGATTATAAAAAACTGTCTTTAACTTTGGCTGTTTTATAGGTACCATTGCTCTAAAGCCCATAGTGTAGAACAAGAAAGTAAAACAGCAAAAGTTTGCATTCAGTGAACCACCCTCAGCCATGTGATCTAAATCAAAGGTACATTCACCTTTTTCTATTGTGTATCAGAATTGGTTCAAGCTGTGTATGTCCGCAGAGTTGCATCTTCAGGACAGACAACGCAAATGAAGCATAAATCTTACAAAATATTCAATGAACTCTAATGCTTTAAAGCACTCTTAATGATGAATAATCCATGGATTTAAGACAACATGTGTCTGAGAGGGGGGGGAAAAAAAAAGGGTGTGTATTTAAGGCCACCTCAGCAAATGGGAAAACTGCTGACCTCCCTGTCAATTCCAGGTTCTGGAGTGGTATGTACAACCGCTTTGAAAAGGGGCTGCATCCTCGACAGTCCGTTACTGATTATCTGATGGCAGTGAAGGAAGAAACTCAGCAGCTGGAAGAAGAGCTGGAGGTCTTAGGAGAGGTAATAAACACTTGGTCTCAATGCCCCAGACAACATATGGTAAATCAAACCAAACTCCATATGCTGCAGTCCCCTACGTGCTACATTATTTTCCAGCATGAGGATGTTCAGCCATCATCTTCGCTCTCACATAAATTACTATAAATGTTCTGCATTTAAGACACAAGAGAGGACTTGGTTTCTTTAGGGATAAAATTTCACCTGTGTTGGTGCAGAAGTACTACTCCTGAAAGAAATTTTATATCCTTCTGTAACTCAGAAGGAATTGTAATTTAAAAGGATGCTGTAATTCAGCATTGGTTTGTGATAAATTGTGCACTTCTCATACTCCAGAAATGCAAACAGGCAGTTTTAAAGGGTGCCAGTTGGGTTGGGCTCTGAATTTAGGTTTCTTTAGAACCAAAAAAACCAAAGCCAGTAAGAGTATTACTGGGCCCTAAATGCGTCCATGTAATACATGTTTCTTTTATTTCAGAGACTGGCCAATCTTCAGAAATCACAATTAAATTATAATAAAATCAAGAGTAAGCAACAAGACCAAAGCAAACAGTTAGGGCTTTCTACTTCCAACAACAGCTTGGCTAACACTCCCCAGGAGTATAGCAACGATCTGAAATCATTCCCATCCCGGAGCCCTTCGCAAGGGGATGAAGAAGATTCAGCCCTGATTTTGACACAGGACAACCTGAAAAGCTCTGACCCTGACCTCTCAGCTAACAGTGATCAGGAGTCTGGTGTGGAGGACTTAAGCTGTAGGTCTCCAAGTGGAGGTGGCTGCTTGCCTAGTGAAGACAGTGGCAAGGATTCAGATGAGGCCGTATTTCTGGCAGTCTGAAATACCTTCAAAACAGCAAGGATCCAGATGAAGATAAGTCTTTCACAGTCTGGAACGGCATCTTTTCATCAAATGAAGAATGGGAGTGGTCTGTGGCCTAAAGAAATAACCCAAAGAAAGGGAACTGTGCAATTGTGTAAGTAAAGATGGAAACAGAAGAAGCCATTATTAGTTTTAAGACATAATGCTAAGAAAGGTAGTATCTCCTGTTCTGTTTAGTTAAGCCAATGTGGAGTTTATCAATGCTGTACATAATTATTCCTTACTTTGTACATTTCCATAGTTATTGTACAAAATTCTTCTCCAAAGATGTGAAATTCCAAAGTACTCTTACACATAGGGAGAAGGTTGAAGATTCATTAGCGTTAGCCTTACTGGTGAGTCAGTCAAAACTTGTATTTGTAGAGCTCTTCTGCCTTCATATTGTGTATATTCTTCACTTTTTTTTTTTTTCATGGGAGGTGATAAATTTTGAATTCCAACAATTATTTTGCATATTCTCCTACTAGAATCCTTTAAGGCAAAGTAAAATTAACAAATGGACTTGCTTGCTGAGGGGACAAACGAAGCTTTGATACTGCAAAAATATCCTTTAGTAAGCACCTGCTGCTGCTGCACATGCATGAATCCTATTTGTACTCAACCCATGGTGGAAGTTCAGTAGTTTCTGTGAGCAAAACTTCAAGGAACGTAACAATACTTAAATGGCCTTTGTGGTAAAGCAGCCCTTTATAATGAAAGGCACGTTAGGCAGTATACTTCAGCCTTTTCATGTTTCGTTCTACAGTTTGTTTATATCTTACTCTTGTTCCAAACTGCCTATGTAAGATGTAAAGGTAAAATTTAGAAGGCAAGAAAACCCAAAATTCTCCAGCCTATTTTGGTTGCTACTTATCAATGTTTTTCTTCAGTGGGAGTGAGGTACATATACAGTAGAGAGAACAGGGAATCCAAAATAACTTATAAAAAATCATGTATAAAAGCATTGCTTTAAATTCAGAATTAAGGAACTGTTATAAAGGATATTTCTTCCAAATTTTATTGTTCAAAATAAACTAACCACAATGACAGTGGTTTCATCCCCACACAAAACTTCCCTTTTCATTTTTGCCAACCCAAACAGAGCAGGGCAGTGCTAACTTAAGAAAAAGACTGATTCACCCAAACAGAAAGTTTAATCTTGTTTGGTTTGAGAATTTTCATAGTTTTTAGGAGTAATAGCTTCCATAATCATAGGTACAGAAATAAACCACTGAAAAATGTTTAAAATTTGGGATGTTTTGAAACTCACTAAAAAGGTTTCCATATCGGGATGTTATTCTTTCAAGGTGGGTTTTTTTGTTTCAATTAAAGCAAGCAGTTAAAAATGTAATTCATATGGCTGCTCTTACCTGCGTTGAGACAATATGGTATTTAACTCTAGTAAAGCAAAGTGGCAGTAATGGAAGTTGACTTCGACTGCACTGAATGCTACTCATTCAAATACAGACTTACAGACAGAATTAAATTTTATAAATACACCTCAATTTAGAAGCTTTAGATTTTATTATTCAATTTGCTTTTATGGAATGGCTTTTCATTCTGTTCTATGAACTTAGGTTATTTAAAATGAGTACATAAACTCATTTTACGTAGTATTATTAATATTTTCCTAAGAGAGCTGCTCTCTTTGAACAAATAATTCAAATCCTAACAGCCAGATTTATCTCAATGTTATACTGGAAAGGCCAGATCCTCAATTTTATAAATCACTGTAGCTCAGTTGGGATAAATACAGCTGTAAGTTATACTCTGTTGAGAATCTAGCCTTCTGTTTTCTGATCTTTATGAATTTTTAAGAAATTAAAGCCCTGATTTTAACTGCACTTTAAAAAATATTTTCTATTTTGAACATAGCCTGTAAAATGTATGGTATTAAAGGAGATGTTGAATGGGTTTTCTCAAACTAAAGAAACACGCTGCAAAGTCAGCACTGAAAACACACAAATATTCTGCCTAAAAAATGAGTCTGAAATGGGCAATATTATTGCATATCTTTAAAATGTAAAATTGTGAATTATGGTATTGTGTCCTATTAGACATGTCTAGAAATAAATGCAGAACAGGAATATATGCAAATTCAAAGCACTGTCTCCATGCCGCTTATGCAACGCCTTGTAACTAGCTTTACAACTAAAATACCAACCTATTAACATTTCCTATGAAGCCTTTACTTAGCAGCCCTCTGTCACGTGTCTTTTCGTCCTTGGAATTCTGCATTAGCTACTATTGTTTTCATTGTAATGTATGTATTTGTGGCATTATTAGCCTGGTGAGAAACACTTCCAAATAAACATTGAGGTCACTTAGTGTTACGTTATTTCACACCACTGAATGAAACAAAGGTTTGCTTTCTCAATTTTTGTAATATACTTCTTCATTTACTCGAGAGGCACTCTGAGAGCAAGGGATTTTTGTATCTTCCCTACCTCAATACTTGAATCCAGTAGTGTAAGTTGTGGAGGAATCTACAACTGCTAACTAAGAAAACTGAGGCTCCTCTCAACTGAGTTAATTATATGAGTGTGTTACAGCTTCCCCCCCCTCCCCCTTTTTTTTTTTTTTTTTTTTTTTTGTTAGGGAATGCAAAACAAAAAGGATGAGAAAACCAACATTGATGCCTTGTAGCCTTGTGGGGATCTTCCCTCTGCTGCAAATCATTGCAAATTTGTCATGAGCCCACTGCAATTTGAAATAAGACAAACAGGAACGTAAAAAAGTGCTGGAAAGAAAGGATTAGAAGAGCATTATAGATTTCTGTGGTGTAATTTTAGCCTCACTGGGTTCAGGCTGCTCTTTAGTATGAAAATGTGCACCTAAAGGACACTGAAAGTTATGGGCTCATCAACTGAAGTTTTCTCTACAAAAGATCACCATCTAAAGAACAGGAAGAAAATGCATAGTATCATAGAACGGTTTGGGTTGGAAGAGACCTTTAAAGGTCATCTAGTCCAACCCCCCTGCAGTGAGCAGGGACATCTTCAACTAGATCAGGTTGCTCAGAGCACATCCAGCCTGACTTTGAATGTTTCCAGGGATGGGGCTTCTACCAAATCTCTGGGCAACCTGTTCCAGTGTGTAACCACGTTCACTGTAAAAAATTATTCCTTGTATCTAGTTTAAATCTACCCCATTTTAGTTTAAAACCATTATCCCTTGTCCTATGGCTAGAGGCACCACTAAAATGTTTGTCCCCATCTTTCTGATAGGCCCCCTTTGAAGTATTGAAAGGCCTCAATAAGGTCTCCGTGGACCCTTCTCTTCTCCAGGCTGAACAAACCCAACTCTCAGCCTGTCCTCATAGGAGAGATGTTCCATCCCTCTGATCATTTTCCCTAGCTGCTTTCATTGGTAGCTTCATACAAGACAAAGGTGGTAAACTGGTACTGGGTTAAACTGGTAATGAATTCTGAAAAGCTAAGAAATAAAATTGAAAAGTTGGAGGACCCAACTCAGACTGAAGGGATATCATTTAAAGTAAGAAGAGAAAAAGAAAAAAAAAGTAAGAGGAGGGAGGCAGGGAAGGGAAACTCCTTGTAAAATTAGCAGTAAGGCAGGGAAACACATTTTTTGAAGACAGGGGCAAGCTTTCTTTGTAGCTTATTACTACAGATAAATTTGATCTCTACAGGTATCTGATGAAAAGAAGGCATTTAAAAAGCAGTAGCCAGAGATGCAATAGGGGTGTGCAAAGCTTTTTTTAGTGAAGGTGGCTCCAGGAATTACTGCTGTTGAAAGGGTTAATAGGGAAAGCGCAAATTGCTACAAAAAAAGATTAAAATTTTGTCCCTGAGAAGCTTACTGCATCTGTTTCCAAGACAATTCTGTATCCACCCAAAAAGTCCTGCAATGCCCAACTCTGTCCGTAAGTTAGATCATTACAAGATGTATTAAAAATCCCAAAGCCTTTATTTGTAAGTTTAACACATTACAGTATTTACTGTTCGGAATAATGTACACAATAAGGCTGTGATGACTGACTTGACTTTGTTGCCAGAGTTTTAATTCAGTTTTACCTGAAGGTCTCTTAAATCCCTCTTTTAGAAAGATTTATCCTAGTCTTTGAAGAGAGTAGTAAGAACTTGGACAGAAACAAGACTAAAAGATTTCTAACTTCCACATTGATCAAGGTCCAAAGTGGCAAAGCTGCAGGACTATGTACAGAGCAAACAAGAGAACTATAGATCATTAGATACTGCTTAGAACTAACTTTATTATAGTCTCTTGCCTGTAGCGGTGGCTAGCACAGCTGCACGTACCCGACAATCCCTGCCTTTCAGAAAGGTTAGCATCTCAAATACACTGTGAAGTCCAGAAAAACTTTCTTCTACAAGCCCCAGCAGAATGTAGCATTAACACCAGTTGTATATAAGATCACACTAAAATGAGACTTACTTTATTTCAGACTTACATTTTAAAATTTTTCTAGTCTGCAATGTAATCAGTTACAACTGCTAAGGAGAATTCAGTTCTGAATTTAAATAGTCGTTTGACTCAGGGAGGAACAAGAGGCGTAAACTCAGCTATAGAAAACACTTAGCAGTAAGATCGGATACTAAAATGAGGCAAAATCCTGATGCAATTAGCAGTTACAATACAGAATGGACCCTCACCCCCACCCCAAACTACTGCAATACCAGAGACAAGCCACCTCCTTACTCTTATATTTCTCAGCATGAGCACAACAGAGCACAAGGCTCTCCAGAAACAAGTCACCGTATGTAGCCTATTATTCCAGATTGCTTAAGAGCTCCCTTGACACATTTCAGAAGATTTCAGAATACGCATATAACAGCAGCTGCCATTCTCTTACATTTTGTAGGAAATTGTTTAAAGCTGGATTTATACCTACATGCCATATTTCGGCAAAATAAGGTAAGTAATGCACTTAAGAGTGAACTACTAGCAAGCCAGAAGCCAAAAAACCAAACTCTGACAAGAGTGTTATCAGTGTTCTAATA